CCTCCAGCAACCCTCAGTTTGTTCTCTGTATTTAAGAGTCTTTCATGGGTTGCCTCCCTCTCTGCTTTTATCTTATTTTATTTTTCATTCTTTTCCCCTATGTTCATCTGTTTTGTTTCTTAAATTTCACGAGTGAAATCATATTTTTCTCTTATTTTACTTAGCATAATACACTGTAGTTCCATCCATGTTGTTGCAAATGGCAAGATTTCATTCTTCTTCGTTGCCAAGTAATATTCCTGTGTTGTGTGTGTCTGTGTGTGTGTATACAGACATATACATGTGTGCATCTTTATCTGTCATCAGTTGATGGACATTTGGGCTCTTTACATAATTTGGTTACTGTTGATAGTGCAGCTATAAAAATTACTTCAAGTCAGCATTTTTGTATCCTTTGGATAAATTGCTAGTACTGCAATTGCTGGGTTGTAGGGTATTTGTAATTTTTTGAGGGACCTCCATACTGTTTTCCAGAGTGGCTGCACCAGTTTGCATACCCACCAGCAGAGCAAAAGGGTTCCCCTTTCTCCACATTCTTGCCAACATCTGTTGTTTCCTGGGTTAATTTTAGCCATTCTGACAGGTGTGAGGTGGTACCTCATTGTGGTTTTCATTTGTATTTCCCTGATGAGGAGAAATGTTGAGCATCTTTTCATGTGTCTATTAGCCAACCGGCTGCCTTCTTTGGAAGGCCCCTTTATCAGATATGTCATTTGTAAATATCTTCTCCCATTCTGTCAGTTGCCTTTTACTGTTGTTTATTGTTTCCTTTGCTGTGCAGGAGCAATGTATCTCAATGAGGTCCCAATAGTTCATTTTTGCTTTTGTTTCCCTCGCATCTGGAGACATGTCTAGTAAGAAGGTACTGAGGCAGAGGTCAAAGAGGTTACTGCCTGTGTTCTCCTATAGCATTCTGATGGTTTCCTATCTTACATTTGGGTCTTTTATCCATTTTAAATTTATTTTTGTGTATGGTGTAAAAAGTGGTCCAGTTTTCCCAACATTTGCTGAAGAGACTTTTTTCCATTGGGTGCACTTTCCTACTTTGTCAAAGATTAGGTGGCCATACATTAGTGGGTCCATTTCTGGGTTTTCTGTTTTGTTCCATTTATCTATGTGTCTGTTTTTGTCTCAGTACCATATTGTCTTGGTGATTACAGCTTTGTACAGCTTGAAGTCCCAAATTGTGATGCCTCCAGCTTTGGTTTTCTTCTTCAAAACTGTTTGGCCATTTGGGGGGTCTTTTCTGGTTCCATACAAATTTTAGGATTGTTTGCTCTAGCTCTGTGAAGAATGCTGTTATTTTGATAGGGATTGCACTGAATGTGTAAATTGCTTTGGACCGTATCGACATTTTAACAATATTTGTCCTTCCAATCCATGAGCGTGGAATGCTTTTCCATTTCCTTTTGTCTTCTTCAGTTTTTTTCATAAGCATTCTATAGTTTTCAGTGTATAAATTTTTCACCTGTTTGGTTAGATTTATTTTTAGGTATCTTACGGGTTTTGGTGTACTTATAAATGGGATCGATTCCTTGATTTTTTTCTGCTGCTTCATTATTGGTGTATACATTCGCAACAGACTTTTGTATGTTGATTTTAAACCCTGTGACTTTGCTGAATTCATGTATCAGTTCTAGCAATTTTTCAGTGGAGTCTTTTGGGTTTTCATGTAGAGTATCATGTCATCTGCAAAGAGTGAAAGTCTGACTTCTTACTTGCTGATCTGGATGCCTTTTATTTATTTCTGTTGTCTGATTGATGAGGTTAGAACTTCCAGTACTATTTTGAACAACAGTGGTGAGAGTCGACATCCCTGTTGTGTTCCTGACCTTAGGAGGAAAGCTCTGAAATTTTCCCATTTAGGATGGTATAAGCTGTGGGTGTGTGGGTCTTTTGTACGTAGACTTTATGATGTTGAAGTATGTATTTTCCTTCTATCCTTACTCTCTTGAAGGTTTTTATCAAGAAAGGATGATGTATTTTGTCAAAAGCTTTTTCGGCATCTATTGATAGGATCATGTGGTTCTTTCTTTCATCTGTTGATTTGTGGATATTGAAACAGCCCTGCAGCCCAGGAATAAATCCCACTTGATCAGGTAAATAATTATTTTAATCTATTATTAGATTCAATTTACTAGTACCTTGTTGAGAATTTTTGCATCCATGTTCATCAGTGAAATTGGTGTGTAATTTTCCTTTTTAGGAAAGGTTTGGTTTGGTTTTGGACTCCAGGTAATGCTGGCCTCATAAAATGAGTTTGGAAGTTTTCCTTCCACTTCTATTTTTTGGAACAGTTTCAAAGGAATAGGTATTAATTCTCATTTAAATGTTTGGTAGAATTCTCCCAGGAAGCCATCTGGCCCTAGACTCTTGTTTGATTTTTTTTTT